TGCAGAGGGGGTGCCCACAAGCTTGGTGCCCGGCCGGGAGGCTGCGGCCAGAGTGAGGCCCCACCCCCGCGGCTTGGAGATCGCAGGGCTCCCAGCGCTTCGACCCAGGATTTTCAGAGAAAACACCAACGTAAACGGGCGGGAGAAGAGGTGAGGCGGCCGCGGGGAGCAGGTGACCAGGGCCCCCAGGGACGCGGACCGGGCAGCTGGGGCACAAGGAGCCGTGACCTCGGGGGCGGACCTGCCGGGGCCCTGAGGCTGGGGTGGGGGTGAGCAGCCCGCCCTCCCCGAGGCTCCCTCATCGCCCCGGAAAACCAGCTCGGAGCACCCAGCGTCCGCGTCCTCAGAAATAGGGGTGGGGGGGGTGCGGGGCGGGGGGGCGAGGCCGGCAGGGGAAGCTGGGAGCTGGCGGGTCCTCCTGCGGGGCCCCCCCGCCCCCGTCCCAGGTTTGGGCCCGCCCCTGCCTCCGGCTTCTCTGGGGGTAGCTCGCTGTTCCCCAAACCGCACACCTAGCCTAGAAGTCGCAGAAACGCCAAGCGCCACCTCCACCTCTATCCGGCGAGCGACTGGGCAGCAAGCCATCACTTTATTTAAAGATGAGCTTTTATATAAAAACGAACCAAATGCCCTGCAGGTCCGGGGAGAGTGCTTGAGGACTGTCAGGGTCAACCCCAGCCAGCGGTGCCCTGGGCCACCCGATAACCGCCTCCACAGCTACGTCATAGAATGAAGGGTGTCGCCAGAGGTGGGGAGCGGCTATACCCAAACTTCTGGGGTGCACCAGAAACCTTGGGGACGGGGAGCAGCCTCTGCCCCTAGAAACCCTGATTGCAGACCTTGGAATGTGCATTTTGAAGAGGCTTCTGAAGCTGGTGGTGTGGACAGCGGACGGGAAACGCACTGTTGCTGGGTTTTTGGAATCCAACAATCTTGTTCACACAGAGCTACCGCGACGCCAAGGTTGCAACGTCACACCTGCCAGCTCCGCGTTTGCTGCCGAGACCCTGCTTTGCATGGACCACCAGCGTGTTCTTAGGATTGGGGCCAGGACAGACTCCCCATAGCAGTTACGGCCCATGCTGCTTGTGTAGACATTGCAATCATCATCCTAATCTTAAACAGCTAAACTTTCGGGGCGTTTCCTACGGGCCAGGCAACATTCTTGACACAAGAGGTTCCCTCAGGGGTAGACTGAAAACATGAGAGGACAGCTGACTTTGGGGAGTTACAAATAGGTCGAGGTGGCTTCCGCACCTGTCACGGGATGCCTCCCCTCTCCGCCCCATACAGGGCCTCGCCCGGCCGACCCCACCAGCCCCCTTCTGCTCTGGCCTTCGTCTTAGGGAGATCCCTTCGGCAGCATGAGCCACGACGACCACGGCACTGATTTAAATGGCTGATGTGGTTTAAAATCACGCATTTCAGGGGGAAACTCTTGATCTGTGCATCAACCCCTGGCGAGTTCCAGACCCGTTCAGCCGATTTAGCTCATTCAATCCCCTGGGGAACATTTATATTCCATTTTGCAAGAGAGAAGATGGAGGCAGACAGTAATTGCCTCCTGAAGTTATCAGCCAGCTAGCGTGAGAAGCCGAACCTTAACCCAAGGCTCCGGCTCCAGGCTCGGGACCTTCCACAAGCTCAGCTGACTTAGATTCCAAAGCCCGTTAATTTGCTTGTCCTGACACACAGCGATAAAAGGAAGCTGGGCTAGAAAGAGGAAATAATTTAAGGTGACCATGAGAAAAGTCACTCCTCTTGTGAAAACCTACCCAGATGACAAGCAGCTTTGGAACAACATGAAGGTGAAGACTGGGGTGTTTCTCCCAGTGCTTCTCTCTAGAAAGTTCTCTAAACGTGTTTTGTTTCACTGTTACCCAGAACTGTGCTGACCAAACACCTTGCACTTGCCAAGGCTGTTGTATTTTCCAGTAAGTGCATTTCTTTCCACAAAATGACTCTGTAAATGCTATCATTCTGTACTTTTCATATTAAATGAAAAATCTTTAGAAAAAAAGTTGATGATTTATTCATGACACAGGCAGAGGGAGAAGCAGGCTCCCCATGGGGACCCTGTTGTGGAACTCGATCTCAGGACCCCAGGATCATGCTCTGAGCCAAAGGCAGACGCTCAACCACTGAACCACCCAGGTGCCCTCGTTAATTGATTTAAAAAATCAGAACTGCCCATCTGTCCTGAGTCTTGCTTGATCCCAAGGCAGCAGTTTGCCCCTCTCCTGTTTCTGCTACAGGAAGACAGGATGGAGAGATGAGGGTGGGGACCCCGAGCCTCAGTACCCCACAGGTTTTTCCCCACCTGCAGCCCTGGCTTGGAAGGCCTTTTGGAAGCATCGAGAGTTCGGGCACTGAGGGCAGGCAGGCCCTGGGGAGACATGGACACATGGCGGCCTCTGCGGGCCTGGGCCTCCTGATGCCTGTGGCCAGGTGCTAGCTGCGGGTCACGGGCTGTCCCCCTCCCACCGTGCTGGATTTACTGGGAGCCACTGGCGCTCGGCTTCGTGGCCATGACGTTGACCGCAGGTGAGCCACCGCTGCCCTGGCTCGGGAGGCACCTGCATGCCCAGAGCTGAGTGGGAGGCAGCGACCCTGCGGCCAGAGGCCCTGTGGCAGGCACAGCCACACCGTGAGAAGCCCTCTGGGCAGGTGTAGAGCTGGGAAGGCCTCGGGGTCAGCTTGGGCTGCAACACAAGCACAGACTTCAGGGTCTCGTGGACAGCGCACATCCGCTCCTCATGCACGGATCTCGGGGCTAAATGTCCGAACTCAAGGGGCCAGCCACTTTGGTTTCTGGTGGGAGCTTTGTTGGTGGTTTGCTGCCTTCTCACCGTGTCCTCAGGGCAGAGCCAGGGAGACACAGGACAGGCAGGGAGGAGGCTGTGATGGGGAGGCGAGGGGAGGTGATGGGGGGAGGGGAGGCAGGGCCCAGTGTTGGCCCTCTGGTATTTCTTCTGATGAGCCCACTAATCCCATGACTCCAGTGCTGCCCTCGCGACCTAATCAACTCCCAAAGGCCTTGCCTCCTTGCACCAGCACCCAGGGCATTTGGTTTCAGGACAAGAATTCATCGGGGTGTGGGGAGGGGAGGCTGGGGGAGCCACAAACAGTCCCCGACAGAAGCTCTCTACCGGCCGCCAGACTGGTGACATGCATCACCCTCTGCTGTGGACATTGTCAAAGGACCTACACCTGGGCCCACATGAAGTTCTGCTAGACGTGAGGCAGGGCCCAGGCCCCCTCCACCCGGTAGCCCTGGGTTAGCATCAACCCTGTGTGACCAGGGCCTAGGGACTGTCCTCGTAGCTCACAGTGAGGTTATTAGACAAAGAGGGGCAGGAGCCTTTACAGAGAAAGGAGACCAGGAGACACTGAGCGAGAAGCAGGCCTCATATCCCTCCCCAAGCCAGCCTTGTGGCTTCAGATGGCTGAAAATGACCAGTCACAGGGCTCTCCAAGTATGCCACTCACCCACGTGTGCTCTCATTCCATCCTTGGCACCCCTGATATATGACACTACAAACTTCAATGTGTTCACAGATGGAGAAACTGAGGCAAGAAAGGTCTGCCAATGTCACAGCGCTGATAAATGGTGTTAACTCAGAGCTTTAGCTCGTCTGATCCCTGAGCTTGACCCCTAGACCGCGGGAGTACAGGGACACTGGCGGGTCCAGAGCTCATGGAGAAGCGGAGGGAGGGGCAGGCATGTTCTGATGTTCCGAAGTTCAGAGACCCCCTGGCACTCCTGATCAGCTGCCCCCTCAGGAAACTCAAATGGGGACCTCAGCAAATACGTGCACTCCCCGGTCCCCATCTTCCCGTGGGATCTCTTGGGAAGCTCAGCTCCAACGCCTCGTAGCAGGGTAAAGTACGCTCCACCCGGAAAATGCAAGGAGCAAGGCTAAGGCCAATGTCAGGCCTTGGGCCAATGTTGAAGACTTGTGCTCGGATACCAGAGCCTGAAAGCTGAGACAACTTACACGTGTTCCCATCCAGGGTGGCATGTGTTCACCCACAGCTGGGGGCCCAGGCAGGAAAAGTAACGGCTCCTGTATGTGGTCCTTGGATTCAGAAAATTCAAGCCAGGGGCACCTGGGGGGCTCCGCTGGTGAGGCGTCTGCTTCCGCTCAGATCATGATCCCAAGGTCCTGGCATCAAGTCCTGCATCATGCCCCTGCTCAGCAGGGAGCCTGCTTCTCCCTCTCCTTCCACCCCTCTCCCCTGCTTGTGCTCTCTTTCTCTCTCAAATTAATAAATAAATACTCTTAAAAAAGAAAAACTTCCAGCTAAACTCCCCCACCACCCCCAACTGCTCAAAGAACAGCTTCTGAATCAATTTTTTTTTTTAAAGAACAAAAGCTGTTTTTCCAATAATTTAACATCCCAGGCATTCATCCTGAGTGTTCCCGGGAGGCTGGACAGGCTGGTGTTGATCATGCTGCTGAGGCAGGCTTGGAGGACTTCTGGGAGGTGGCACCTCTGTGAACTGCTTGCTACTCCCTCCCTGTAACATCAGGCGGCCATCTGACCTCTTTCTGACTGGCTTTTATCACACAGTCCATAGCCACCCACAATTTCTGTGCAGTTACGGCATGCCCGCTGGAACTGTACAGGGCCTACAATCTGGAGTCGTTTCATCAAAAGATAATTTCAATTATAATGTTATCAAGATACACGGTGAAAACCAACTTCTGATGCACCAGCTGTACTGATTTGGGTAAAACCTAAAAAGGAAGAGCCTGCATCTGCTGAACCTCCTCCTCTTTGAGGACACAGCTTAGGAGAGTTCTTTTCTACTCTGCGTGTTATCAAAACAAAACACAGAAATCATTTATGGAGACCTTTTCCTGCAAGTAGGGCAGTTGCTCAACCAGATAAGCCTGAAACAATCTCACTTGTCACATTAAAAATGTTAAATACTGACACAACAGAATTTGTTCATTGTATTACATAAAAGCATTATTTTGCAAGGGCTTAAAATTAAAAACAAAACAAAACCCACATATAGTTTAGGAGTCACTGGCATTTCATGGAATTTGCCGGGTGGGATGGGAAGGGAGGGCTCGTGTCTGTGTGCGTGTGCGTGTGTGTGTGTGTGAGAGAGAGAAAGAGAGATAGATGGGGTGGCCAGACACAGGGCATAAGGCTCAAACTGCTGTTTTCAGCAATAAGAACACCATTGTGTCGGATAATTACACGTTGCATAGTCTCCATGATAAACAATAACATTTGCTTCCATTTTGGTCTAAATGAAAAGGAACATTTTCCCTTTCGCAAGCCAGCTTTGCTGCCCAGCCAGATGGCTCAGAGCCCACGCTAATGAGGGGCTGCCATCCCAGGGTCAACCCGCAGGAGACCTCTTTGCTGTCATGTTGCAAAAGCCAATTGTTTTAGGAACACAGACCACAAAACCCCTGCCCCTCCCTTGCTTGCTCACCCTTCATTTCATGCCTGACTTCATGGAAATCTTGCTGCAGAGAAGCTGATTAGTGGTTCGCAGGGTTCAAAGAGACCGTTTCCACTGCAGAAAACCGCTGTGCAGAGCACAGCCCTGGAGAAGCCAGAGTCTTTGCTCAGTAGACAAGAGCCGGTTCTCCTTTCCCGTAGAATCTACCAGTCCGAGGGCTGTGCATCAAACCTGTTTTAATGTAGTTCTGCCACAGAGGGGACTTTGTAGGTTTTCCCTCCTGCCAAAGACTACAAATGCAGGGTGAGGCATCCATATGCAGGATCGGAGGGCCCTTACGAACCCTGCCAGTGGTGACAGGTTGGGGGGGCACTGCAGGTGACAACAGGCATTCACACAACAGTGCTCAGGACCCACAGAATGCAGACCAACTGGCACCTGGAGAAATGCATCCAAATGAACACAAGTCTGCAGCCCCTTTTTGTCCGCACCCGGAAGGCGCGGGGCAAGGAAAAGAGAAATAGCTTGGAATTCGTCAATCTGCGATTGTTTTTAAACTTCAGATCACTTTGTCGTCTTCAATTTGTAAGCCATCAACCATTTCCTTTTCCTCTCCTAGCGTCTTTCTCAATTGACCAGCTGGTTATGTGTGGCACACCAGCTTCCTCCTGGGTGTGCCGTAGAAAGGAGTCCCTTCCCAGGGGACCCCTGGCTGGCTCCCGGCAGTTTCATCCACCTGTTCCAGGAGGGACCTCGTGTCTCAGCTCCTGCAGGAGAGCTTCACCAGGGCTCGAGGACACCTGCCAGCATGGCGTGTCGCCTAGGGCTCTGTATTCATTCATGGACAGGCCGGTCAGCCTCTGACCCTGCTCGAAGTCCATGCCTAACCTCGGCACTTGCACTATCTCCAATCCTCAGGGCAAGTCAACACAGTGCAAACAAGCCTGCAAGTCCCGCTCCAAAGGCAGATGCACTGGGGTGAGCAGTCAGGTGCTCCCTAAAACACTGTCCGAAAACTTCTTCAAATGCAAACTGCTATATGCTGTCTTACACATCCTCTCCTTACACATTATGTTTCCTAAAGATGCAACTTTTTTTTTATTGTATTTAATTCCAAATTCCAGCCAGGCAAGCTGTCCCCATGGGCAGGCTGGGGAAAGCACCTCTCTCTACCCCAGAGCCTCACACACTCACCTGCTCATGTTCATGCTCACGCTCACACACGCATGCAAGTGCACCTATGCAAACACCTGTACTTGCTTGTGTGCACTTTTTGAAATGCAGCCACGTTTGCAGGGAGGCCAGCTGGAATCCCTTGCTCCCAAGGATGAGCACCAGCAGCTCACACATCAGGAGAGCACAGAGACGGCTCGTGGAAGGGGTGGGGGGGGCATTTTCAGGGAGGACCATCTCCTCCTTATGACAATGTGGAGGGGGTCCACCCAAGGCCACGGCAGCAGCTACTCCTCTGCCTCCTGCAGTTCCCTCTGCGTGGCTCGGAGGAGACTCCGAAGCTTCCAGAACACGTCAGAGGCTGCTCTCGGGGGGCTGCGGGCCATGCTCCGAGGGTTGGCGCACTCCTGCACCGCGTCCCGCAACTGCCGCTGCAGTGGGAAGGGTATGGCCCAGCTCCCCAGACTCGAGGAGAACCAGTGGCGGAATATCTTGTCGCAGATGACCTGTGGGAGGGCAGACAGGGCAGTTAGAGTGGGCTGCACCCCGGCCCCACCCTCCCCTGCTGCAGGGAGGCCTCCTCCCACAGCGTGGGCCTGACCCCAAAGCGGCCTCCCCTCCAGACCCCGAACCACTCAGCACCGGGAGTCGAGGCCCCGTCCAGCCCCGGAGCAGAGGGAAGGGTCCGGGTGTCCGTAGAGACAGGGGAGCAGGGAGTCCCGGCAGTGACCCCTGGGCTGCGCCACTGCGTCTCTGAGATGGGCTCGCTCACCCCTAAGAGGGTCACCACACGCGATGACCACCTGACAGGGTTGGCCCGGGGTCTGGTGACGTGTGGGTGAGGAGCAGCCAGCACACGCGACCGCCCATTGAGACGCCCGTGGAGAAAAAGGCTGTGCTGGAAGGGACTTCGAAGCCCTCTGTGTCAGGAGCAGGAGTGAAGAACTAAGCCGCCACCTGGCAACCCGTGAGCAACAGGGTCTGGAGGCCCAATGCCACAGATCTCACACCCCACGGAAGCCACGGCCGCTCCCCCCACCTTTCCTGGGTCCCTCTCGCCGGGCCGCCGCACCCAGAGCTGCGGAGTTAGTGGGCTTTATGGTTCTGTGTCACCCTGGCCCGGACCCACTGAACAGAGGCCTCAGGGTGGTAAAGCTCCTTCTCACGGAAGACAGGTAACTAACTTCGTTTCCCAATCCCTGCAAGGGCAAGGATTCTTTTTAAAAAACAAATGATCTTAGTTGTGCAGTGATGATACATCCGCTAAAATGTTAAATGTTCCCAATGACACACCACACACAGTCCTGGGCCTCCATGTTGCTCCTGACCGTCAGACACTGCGCCGGCCTCTGGGAGGCGACCCCTTCCTTGACTTTCTAGAGAGAGTATGTGACACACAGGCCTGTACATGCTCCCCCTTCTCTCCCACTTTGCATCAAAGGCAGGATATTACACACCGTTCTACGGCTTCTTCCCATTTAACCAAATATCAGGGAGAGCGCCTTCTGCGTTGATTCTTGTACGGATTTCCCAATTGCTCAAATGGCTGCACCTCATGAGTGTGGATAGATCATAAATTATTTAACTAGCTCCCTATTGATGAAAATTGAGGTCGTTTACTAACTTTTGTTATTATGAGGAATGCTGCAATAAATATTTTGCATAAATGTCATTTTCACTTTGCACATGCAACTAAATTTCTAAAATGGAATTTCTGGGCCGAGGGGTATGTGTGCATTTTTTGTTTTGGTACATATTGCCAAATTGACCCCATGAAAGTTGTACTGAGATACATTCTCACAGTAAAGTATGTTGACAACACCGGTCTCCCCTACTGGCCACCAATATGTGCATTGTCTTTCATTTTTGCCAACCAATGGGTGAAAATGGTTTAATTTGCCTACTTCTTAGCAATCAGGGTGAAAGCATTTTGTGCTTCCTTTTCAGTGAATGGTCAAGTTAATGTCCTTCGCTCACATTCCCATCAGATTGTTGGCCTTTTTTAAAAGATTTTATTTATTTATTCATGAGAGACAGAGAGAGAGAGAGAGAGAGTCAAAGGGAGAAGCAGGCTCCATGCAGAGAGCCCAATGTGACACTCTATCCTGGATCTCCGGGATCACGCCCTGGGCTGAAGGCGGCACTAAACTGCTGAGCCACCTGGGCTGCCCTGTTGGCCTTTTTCATATTGCTTCATAGACACTCTTTGTTTTGTAAGGACATCATCCCCTTGCTTTGACTGACTTCCTGGAGAGTGGACTCTGAGATGGAGGTTTGCAAGCAGGGATTTATTGAGGTGTGTGCCTGGGAATTACACCTCCATGGGCCTGAGGGAGATGGAAATAATCCTGCCTTCCTTACAGAGGCCAGGGACTGGGTTTTGCGGATGCCCCTGCTCCCACTGACCGATCCACAGATGCTGTGCCTGGCACCTGGAGAAGCCATGGCAAAGGAGCTTCGGTGGGGAAGGACAATCCTGGGGGCACTGTCTGAGCCTTGACAGCAGCTGGAGCACAAGGCCCCCCTTGCCCTCTACTCTCCTGACCCGTATGAATAACTGCAAATATGTTGCTCATTTTCTCATTTAACTTTTTTTTTCTAAAGATTTTATTTATTTATTCATGAGAGTTTCTCATTTAACTTTTAAATATTGCTCATATTTTGGGGGGATTTTCTTTTGTTTTTTTCTATGTGGATTTCTTTCAAGATAGTTAAATCTGTCACTTGTTCTTCCTATGGCCTCTGAGCTTTGGTCCAAACTCAGAAAGGCCTTCCTTACTCTTGAATAATATCTAAAAATTCTCCCAGTTTTCTTCTGGTACATTTAGGATTGTATTTATGAGTAAAGACTTGAGCCCTCTAGAATTTAGTCAGCAGTGAAGCAGAAGCAAATGCAATCATTTGTTGTGCCTGGTTACCCGGTGACCAGCACTATTCTCCCACAGCCTGGCCACCTCCTGCATCCCGATAGCTACCTGTCTTTATGTCAATCTCTGAAATTTAAAAAATTCTTTTCCTTTGCTCTTCAATCGGGGCAGATATATATATATATATATATATATATATATATATATATATATATATATATAAAAATTTTAACTTAGAAAAGTAATACATTAGGAAGAGATGGGGGCCCCAACATTGGCTCAGCAGACCGCTTCATCCATTAGACCCCCATTGTTGGTCATTTGCCAACAACCCATAGGGGCAGGCAACAGGCACAAACGACCACCCCCCCACTGAGCACATCCAGCCTGAGTGGCATGGGAGGGGTGACTAGGCCACATGAACGGGGTGCCACAGCACAGAAGGCAGTGGCAGCTCCAGAAAACAGTGTCCCCCAGCCCACGTGGTGGCTGCTGCTTACCTGTAAGTTGCTGTTCACTCTTTCTGCTCCACACTTGTTGACTTGCAAATCACACTTTGAAAAACAGTCAAAGAAATTACAGTCTTCATCTCCTGTGCAATTCTGCTCGAGAATTTCCCTCATTTTAGGTTCAAAAAAGGCCATGTCCACATCGATGGCCACCACCTGTAACCAAAACAGCACATGGCCATCAAAAGGACTCCAAGGCTCAGGGCAGTGGGAGCTGGCGCATCTCTGTTCCCCACTTGCAGTGCAGGTGCCAGCAGGTTGCGGGATCACAGAACCCTACCTGCCGGAAAGAGGAGCCCAGGCCATGCTGCAGGGCTCTTGCTTTATTCACACAAGCACGTGGCATCGACCATATTGCAAGGCTTTTGTTGCAAAAAGGACTTTTGCTGGTGAAAGCCTAGATTTGGAACTATGGCTGGAAGTATCATTTTTCAACTTTAAATACTTTTTCAGCTTTAAAAGTAGAATCTCTGAGGGGCACCTGGGTGGCTCAGTCGGTTGAGTGTCCAACTCTTGGTCGGGTCATGATCTCAGGGTCCTGGGATCCAACCCCGGACCCAACCCACTCAGTGTGGAGTGTGCTTGAGGATTCTATCTCTCTTGCCCATCCCCTGGCTCTCTCTCTTTCTCTCTCTTTCACACACACACACACACACACACACACACACACATAAATGAATCTTTAAAAAAATATATAATCTCTGAAATGGCTTAAAAATAAATTCCCCCTCCATTGCTGTATCACTTGGGTCTCTGACCCTCAAGGATCAGCATTATAAAAGCTGTGAGACACAGATAATTTATCCCCATAAATATAAACAATGAAGGAACTGACGTCCCAGAGTCTGTAAGTGTGATGGTGAAAGTGGGTGGCGGGACCTATGCTGTCTACTTACAGCTTATCTGTGACCCGAGTCAGCTGGTTTCCTACTGACTCGTTGGATGGACACATGGCTGCAAAAGGCAGCATCAAATCTCTTGCATGAGGGTTGATGCCTGTGGACCCTGATCCAACAGCATCAAATACTAAATACCACTGTCAGTGTGAGCACGTGATTGACTCCCTGGAATTTCAGATTTATCTTCTTGGCTTCAAACCAACTAGGCTTCAAAACCAGTAATACCATCTACATTATGCAGATTTTCCTCCACCACCTGAATTTTTTAAAAATAATAATAATAAAAAGGATTATCTCAAACCTGATAAAACCTGGAGTCTGCCCAAATCAAGCAGTTCATAGCTTCAAGGTATTAAAAAAGCTTTCTGAAGACTTGATGAATTTTCTGGAGCCGGTGGCGTCTCACAAGCCTTCACAGGCCACCCTCCAAACGTGAGCCCTTCCTTCTGCCTTGGGTAGCATCTCAACGAGGGCTCCCTGGCTGGGGTCCATTTCCTCTGCAACTCGGCAGAGTTAGAAGCTACATTCCCCAGTTTGGGATTTTTGTTTTTCACTCAGGAGGGATGCCAGTCGGTAGTGAACTTCCTTGGGAATGATTCAGTAGAACAGAAGAGAGAAAATAATCTCTTTCAAAATATATGGAGAATAATGAAAATGAAGAACAGGGAAGTTTTCCCTACTTAATAGCTTTGCTTAGTTACTAATTCAGGCACAACAAACAGAAATTACTATTTTAATCCATTTCTCCTATTTAGCCAAAAGAAATAGCTACCTTAGCTAATACAGGAAAAATATACTAAGGCTGTGCTCATGAATCTATTGTCTTTTTTTAAAGATTTTATTTATTTATTCATGAGAAATACATAGAGACAGAGGCAGAGACACAGGCAGAGGGGAGAAGCAGGCTCCCTGGGGGGAGCCCAATGTGGGACTTGATCTCAGGACTCCAGGATCATGACCTGAGCCAAAGGCAGATGTTCAACTGCTGAGCCACCCAGGCGTCCCAGATCTATTGTCTATATAATTTATTGTCAGGGCTCCAAGGTTCCCTTCTTTCCATCCTTTCTGGCAACCTCCCATGGCCCCCACATGTCCTTTCAGCTCCTGCGACTTTTCTCTCCCATTTCTGATCTTTCCCTTCTCATCTCCCAGGGAGAGCCAGATTTATTTTTTAATTTTTAGCGTGCAGTGTAGAAGGGATTACAGCTATTGTAAGCATTAACTCTACGCATCTAAAATAAGAACAGGAACCAAGCCCACCAAAAAACCTGCACAGGGTTTCTTCAATCATGTTAGGAGAATCAGCACATTCTTCCTGCAGGAATCACCTAACTCACATCTTCATCAGACTTTATGCTGGCATCCGGCTAGAAGGGGCTGAAGAGAACTGTTTCCTCCTAAGTAGGAAACACGTCTGGCTAAAAGGAGCACCTGCTGGAGATGGTTTGGGGGCATGAAGCAAGGATGTTTCCCAGGTATTCCTTTACAACCACTGGGTAAATTCTCAGGACCTATAAGTGGGGACTTATAGAGAAAGTGAAGGACTGCAAGTCTCTGAGTCGCACCCCCAGAGTGTCGGACCCAGTAGGTCTTGAGGGCAGGGGAGGGCAGACAGAGGCAGATAATTTGCATTTCTAACAAGTCCTCTGGTGATGCTCATATTGCTGGGTTTCACTTAAAGTCGTGAAATCATAGGTAAAGTTAACTTCTTGAATGTCCATGTCTGTGAGGAGGTCAACAATGGTGGGGTTGGCCAAGGGGGATCTCTGTCCTTCCTCCCCCACAGCCACCCCCCCCAGAAGAGCTCAGGCAGAGGAAGGCCCTGTGTGCCCCAGCACGGTCCACAGGGTGCAGTCTGGGGCCAGGGCAAGAAGTGCAGCTATTATTTCACTGGACAAATATTTCGCATCCATTACGCACAAGACACTGGAAGGCATAACTCTAGGGCAGTGCACAAGCCAGCAACATGCCATGTTTCCCTTTCCCCAAGGAAGACCTGTCAGCCCCGCCGCCTTCCTACAGCCTTTCCCGGGAACTCAGCCCAGACAGCTTCACAATCCCCTCAACTGTTGCTGTGCCTGTTGAGTTCCACTCACTGACACTCCATGACACTTGTTGTCAGATGAGTCCTGGTCCTAGAACTGCCAGAGTGAACACACCACACTTCCTTTCCCAGGGCCCTGGGGTGCCCGGGTTCCCAGGACTTCTCTGAGAAAGAGAACGGTGGTCCTTCATGTCCATCACATAAACTTTCTGCTCATGAACTAGGGAAGCTTGGCTGGGACTTCACCTCAGAAAAATATGCTGGCGGGGTCCTGGGTGTCCCTCCCCTTCACAGCTTGGAGCATGGCTAGGGGTATTGTGGAGCTCAGGATGTTGCAGACGGAGCTGAACTCTTCCAGAGCTCACCACCCAGCGTGCAGACCCTCCAGGAACTTCCCAGAACCTTCTGGAACCTCTCAGCTCTTTCCCTTCCACACTTGGGGCCACCCCAGCTTATCAATCTCTCTGGAGCAGCCAGGGACAAGGCGTCAGGACCAAGCAGTTTGGGCAACTTGCTGCCCCACTCTTCATGGTGACAGAGGCTAGACTGGAGAGGGGTTTACACAGGGGGCAAATTTTGTTTCCTAGCTTTCAGGCTGTTGTAAGAAGGCATTCCTCTGCTTCCTGCTGCGGTAGGTAGTACCAGTAGGTAGTACCTGGCCGGCAGTAACAGAACCCTCCCCAACAGCCGCCTTCCCAGGCCTACCCCACACCCACAGCTACTTCTTAAGGGGTCCCGACACGCACCCCAGCACAGGGTAAGGACACCTGTGTTAGGGCACCCAGATCGCCAAGGCATTAACCTGACACTTAGGTTTAGCCTAGCTGGAGGGGATGGGGGGGAATGACGAGGGATATGGGAGGGGGTTAGCTCCTAATAAAACACTGGAGTTCCTCCTGCTGCTTCTCCACCACACTCAATTCCTTGTGCACCTGCATGGCCCAGAGGGGAGGCAGACTTCACCTACCCCACAGAGCAGCACAGAGGCAGACACCTCCCCCAGGCAGGTTTCTCCCCTGGGAGAAGGCTCCCGAACTCCAGCTGTCCCTCTAGAGGTCTTACCCACAGAAGGGAAACCATCTAGAACCTCTGCAGGAAGAAAGCACCAGAAAAAGCCTCACACCATCATAGAGCCTGGGCACTATGAAAACAGCATCCTCCAACCGGCTGCTGTACAAAAGCCCCCAAAGGCCACCTTTCTTTGTCATCCTCTGTGGCTCCTTGTCTCCTGAAGATTGTTTGCTCCACTCGGCAAGAGCTTGCTTCCAAGTTAGGTCTAAGAAGCTGCTACGCTGCTTTGGAGAAACCAGAACAGCCATTAGGGAGGACAAACCTGGCCCTGCAGGGTCCCCTGCCCCTGCCCCTGCCCCTGCCGTAGGCGCCTTCACTATCATTCCCCGCCCTGGGTGCTGCAAGGTACGCGGGTTCTTCAAATCCTCTCAACGCCCCCCAGGGAGGTGCTCTGGCAGGTCCGGGGTGTCCAGGCCGGGAGGTGGCACACGGTTGCAGCGGTCTCCCAGGATTGCAGACACCCCCTCCTAGATTCTCTGCCCACCCCCACCCTCCCGGGGCCACTCACCGTAAAGTCACTCCTGATGGCAAAGTTTTCGGGCTTGACATCGCACAGGTGCAGGCGGTGAGCAAAGTCATCCTCGAAGTGGCTCACCATGTCCAGGAAGCTGAGCGCCATGTCGCTGACGGCCCTGGCCTGGCCCCGGCCGCCCCGGGGGACCCCCGCGGCCCCCTCGAGCGGGAAGAGGGCCCGGTGGCGGGGGCTGCCCGCGGCCAGGTACTCCACGGCGTAGAAGTGGCCGCAGGAGCCCAGCACGGGCAGGGCGTGCCGGCTCAGGTCCTGCAGGAGGCTGAAGAGCACGAACTCCTCCTGCTGGAGCAGGGCCCACAGGCTGGCCAGCTGGCCCCGCCGCCCCCGGCCCCGCCGCCCCGGCCACAGCGGCCCCAGGCTGCCGCCCGACAGCTCCAGGCCCAGGGCGTTCCTGACCTCGCCGGCCACCAGCAGGTGCAGCTCTGCCTCCAGGGCGTCCGGGCCGCCCTCCTCGGCCGCGTCCTCGGGCAAGCTGAGCGGCTGGAAGCTGGAGAAAGCCTCCTCCTTGGACTTGAGGATGATGGGCCGGCCGCGCCAGGTGGCCTGCAGCACCTTCTTGCCCCGCTCGTAGTACAGACAGCGCTGGTACCGCAGCTGCCCCGCCACGCACAGGTCCTCGCAGAGGTCGCCCACCAGCACCCCGCCCTGGTACTCCTGGCACTGGAAGGAAGGGAACAGTGGGTCACAAGGCGGGAGGGGCCGAGTGGTCCACTGGGCAGGGAGAGGTGGGTCCCTGCACGCAGATGCTCCTTGGCAGCTGTTGAGACAAACCCCACGCATGTGAACGTCATGGGCTGAGTAATTAAGTGGAATCATTCAAAGAGTGTTTTATATTTATCACATCATTCAAGCAGGCCCAGGTCTTCGGGATCAGGAGGCCCGGTGAGACATGGGGCCCCGCCACCCCGTCCCCATTCTGGCCACGTGATGCCGGAAAGGCCTTTCACCAGCTGGTGTCACTTCCTTCAGCTGCAAAGGCAGGGCTGGCCAGGCCAGGTTCTCGACGCTGGCCCCACCACCCGCCCTCCCTGGGGAGACTTGAACGGCCAAGTCACACCTTGGAAGGTGGGTCCCCAGCGAGCCTCACCTGGTGCCAGGGCCAGCCACGGCAACGACCCTCTGGGCAGGCAGCCCCTCGGCCTGCTGTTTGTGACTCCAAGGGGTGTGGCCTATAAAGCCAGGGGATCTGGAAGGACTACAGGGGTTCCGAGGAGCATCCTCTACAGGACACAGGAGTTAGAAGAGGCCTCGTGGCTGGTTGTGTCACCAACAACAGCTTTCAGAACACAGGAGCCCTTCTGGAAGTGAAGGGCGTGTTGGGTGCCTGGCGGCGGAGAGGAGGGTCCGGGAGCCCTCAGATGGGCTTTCTCCTAAACTTCAGCAGCTCTCAGGATAGGTGCCACACGAGGGGACCCAGTGACTCCCCCACACACAACCACCACCTATAAACATCCCTGAGAAGACAGTCAAGCCAGGCCCTGGCTGCTGGTCCTGCCAGGACGAGGACAGGAGGGAGGGCAGAGCTAGAGCAGAATAAAGTGAAATGGAGCATTGTTGCTCTGTTCTTTTTTTAATTTTTCAGGAAACCTAAGGGCACCTGGGTGGCTCAGTGGTTGAGTATCTGCCTTTGGCTCAGGGCATGATCCCGGGGCCCTGGGATCGAGTCCCTCATCAGGCTCCCTGCAGGGAGCCTGCTTTTCCCTCTGCCTGTCTCCGCCTCTCTCTCTGCCTCTCTCATGAATAAATAAATAAAATCTTAAAAAAAATATATTTCAGGAAACCTAAACCCCTAACCCCATTGTTATAGGGAGCTTCCCTCCATCTGTTCCCCCACAGATGTGTCTTTTCTTCCTAGAAGTTCTGCAGCACAGGAGACAGGGGCTCCCCTTCATTCTCACCAGATGATAAGACAAAGGGAAGCCACCACACTGTTTCCTTCACTCTATCTTGTGCGCTATAAGTGCCTTGAGTGACCAGCTGCAGCTGAAGAGCAGTAGAGACCATGGGATGTGGCCAAGAGTCACAAAGCTCCAACCCTGGCCTGGCTCTGCTGTGACATCCTGAGCAAACTACCCCACCGCTCTGAACCTCTGACTCCCTCCCTGCATCACCTGTCTGCCTCCCTTGCTCGGTTTTTGGACAGGTGGACTGAGAAAAGTATGTGAAAACCATTCATTTATTCAAGCACAAGGCATCACAACATGGCCCTCCAACAATGGCCAGCTATATGATTGCACACTTTCCAGACACTCTGGTCCCTTCATGCTGGCCCCCTTTGTATCATAAGCAGCTCAAAGTCAGACGACATACTTCCAATGCCTGGGTATATGAACAATTCCAAAATCCTAAAAGCTCTGAAAACTACAACTTTTTCATGACTCATTGAGACTCATGTGGTACTAAAGCCCAACTGAAAAGTTGCAAGTCTGTAGTCTGAATGTATTCGACTCGGTGTGAATTTCCATACCTTACACTGCAGAATGATTTTGTATAAATACCAACTGTATTCTGTATAAATGCAGAATGCATTTGATTACTGGTTCTGCTTCGTATGCAACATATAAAGTAAATGATTCATATTATTTTTCTAATGCCCAAAAAAGCCTGACTTCAAAAAACATGCCTGGTCCCCAAGTGTTAAAGGACTGTGGACCTTTATAAACACTCTAGTTTAATTGTTCCAAGCATGCATTACCAAAATGCTTATTTTTATATTTATTTATTCGTGAGAGACAGAGACAGAGAGAGAGAGAGAGAGAGGCAGAGACACAGGCAGAGGGAGAAGCAGGCTCCATGCCGGGAGCGCGACGTGGGACTCCATCCGAGGTCTCCAGGATGACGCCCTGGTCTGAAGGCGGCACTAAACCGCTGAGCCACCCAGGCTGCCCCCAAAATGCTTATTAAAAAGAAATACTCCTAGTTCTTAAAACAAGTATCTGGAATTTCGGGACCATTTCAGGCCTTAGCTGGACAAGAGCCGGAGAGACCCAGGCCACGCCATCTCACCTGATCCTGAGGCTTTCGGCTGAAGGAGGCTCCCAGGATCCATCTCTCCTCTGGGGGTTTTCAATCTTAGTATTATCACCTTGGGTGGTGGGGGTGTCACACTGACCAAACACAAGGATGTGCGTGGTCATGAATCTGACCTGGAGCTTGGGAATGCCACCTTGTTGCTGGGCTGCCTTGTTGTCTTTGGCAAACAGACACCCGTGATTAAACTGTGTTAATGAACACCCACAAAACTGCGTTAAACACACGTGATGCTGTGTCCATCTTGCAATTTAACGTAACACAATGCTGGTAAAATGCCATCCTTTTAATTCCAAGCTTTGGGGTCAAGAAATGAGTGTTGAAAAGATCAGGACCCTTTGAGTCACTCACTCTCTGCTCAGAATTGCTTCCATTTTGCCCCTTGTAAGAAATAGCAGCTGACTCAGGCTCCCGGAGACCTCTCAGAATATTCTCAGAGGGAAGGTGGGGATGAAAAGGTGAAGTGTTCTAGATAAGCAGGAGCAAAAAAGATATGAATGATGGAAATAATGTGGGGGGCATTCATTTCCCTTGTTGGTGGTTTTTTTCCTACTCTATCTTGTATTCGCAGAATCTCACATTTCTTTAGTAAAACGGATCAAAAAACATTTTTAAAAAAATTTCGGGGATCCCTGAGTGGCTCAGCGGTTTAATGCCTGCCTTCAGCCCAGGGCGTGATCCTGGAGACCTGGGATCGGGTCCTACTTCGGGCCCCCTGCATGGAGACTGCTTCTCCCTCTGCCTGTGTCTCTGTGCCAATCTCTCTCTCTCTCTCTCTCTCTCTCTCTCTCTCTCTGGGTCTCTCATGAATAAATGGATAAAATCTTTAAAAAAAAAGTCCTTTTAAAGCACCCAAATTCCTTTTTGCATGATTCCAAATCATTTGATTCAATTCCATAGACATTTTTGGAGTGTTGTCACATTTAAAGTCTAATAAAAAGTGCTTTTGTATGAAGTACAGAACAGGAAAAGAAAAGCAGGTGACAGAACCGGTCTGGTGGGAGGAGGTGAGTCCTGAGCCGAGAGCTTCAGAATCCTGGGAGAAGCCAGGGTAAGAAGGGAAGAGGCAGACGGGGTCCACCGCATTGTAAGCGGGGACTATGGAGGCATCGATCACGACAGCCCAGGGCCTTTACTTTCATCCCTAACTGTGGCTGAAGTTGCCACAGGAGAGACAACTGTGGGCTCATAAGACAGCTCCACTCCTCTGGGACCGGGAATGGACAAGGCCTCGCTGCTTGGGCCACACCTGGCCACCTTCAAATCAACAAAGTATCTCTCCCAATGTAACCTGGCCTATGTGAGCTGAGCTACTTTCCAACTACAGGTACCAAGCTCAGGAGCTCACAGAACAGAGGCGGTTGCCTTCCAAACTCATGAATGACAGCTGAGTATGACCTGTACAGGGGTAGGTTCACAGCCACACTTGGCTCTGGGCACACTGGGTTTGCCTCCCATCTCTGCAGACCTAGGAGCTGGTGGCTTCTGTCCAGGTCTGTAGCATGCTGATACAGGGTCACAGGAGACCTGTGAAGGTCAACCAAGGTCACAGATACAGAGGACCGGGTTGTCTCAGTGGATGCTACTTCTCTCCTACCCTCTGCAGCCCTGGCCATTAAAAGGCAGAGGGGGTGGGGGAGGCGGGAGGGCAGAAGGGGGTGCGGTGGGCAGGGAATCCTGTTCCTGGACAGATGCACCTGAGCCCAATTTAGAAAGCCTAATTGCAGTGTGCCTAGCAGATGGGGGGTGGGGGTGGGGGCAGTTCCACTGCAGGAAACAAGCTGTGCAAAGAGCCAGAGTTGCAAAGTAGCCTGGTGTGTTCAGGGGCTTGGAAAGCAAAGTTAGTACCAGTAACTGTGTGTGACAGACTGAGCTGTCCTATGAAAAACTGCCATGTCACTGCCAGATAAAAATGCTTCTACCCTGCAAGAGCCAGATCAACCTTCCCCAGGGGACAACCCGCCTTCCCCAGGGGATCCTTGTCTCTGTCTTCCACCCCCAGCTCCCAGCCCGACAGACTCACTTGCACTGTCCTCTCTCCCACCAGCTCCCCACAGCACAGTGTTTTCTACAAAACTATCCTGCATTGATGATATTGAGTTTAAATCAAATTAAAATCTATACGGTTTTGCCCCTGCAAATTTGGATGGCAATTCCCAACAGGAGTTACAAGATATTTTGAACAATGGTATCATCATCGAATTGATCACAGAGCCTATCACTTTTGGAGGGGAACGTTATTTGGGGTGTCTTTCTGAAGCTTAACACATTAAGATATAAGTGCGCCTCCTGCATGGCTTATGGGGTGCAATGTCGTGCATCAGAAAGGCCCCAAGTGGAGGAAGGTGCCCAGAACCCCAGAGGGCCTGCCAGCTACCATAGGGGAGGTCTCAGGTTTATGACCAAACTTCTGGTACCCCGTCACCTCGTTCGTCATAGGGGGTAATTTACACTAGAGCAGGGTATACACAGTGTGGTGATTACAGAGCTGCTCTCGTCACCATCCTTTTGGATGATGTGCTTTTGGCATTTCAGTTCCTACTCTCTTACAGAACGTAAGATTCACCCACTGAGGGGGGGGGCGGGGCAAGATGGCGGAAGAGCAGGGTCCTCACATCACCTGTCCCCAC